CATGTACAAATGGAACAAAGAATTAACAACTTCACCACACCGTACACCACGGAACCTTGCCAAGTCTGTCGTGACCAGTGGTGTTGTCTCAACCTGACCACCCATTTTACCAGACACAGAGACGAGAGAGGAGAGAAGAGAAAAGCAGTCAAGAAAGACAGTGATGGTATGTAGGCCCACTGTTTATCAGGGAGCTCTTTGTGTGTGGTTTTGTGTGTGTTGTGTGGCCGGTGTGTGTGTGTGTGTGTGTGTTGTGTGTGCGTGAGTGTGTGAGTGTGTGTGTGAGAGAGAGAGAGAGAGCAGGAAATGGTTGAGTGTAATTAGCCATATGTCTTCTGCAGCTACTGTATGAATGTTAATGTGAATGAGCGACTCCAGTGTTGGACGACGTGTTTATTCAGATCCACGCTGTGAATATATTCTACTACAAGTAAAAGTCCTGTATTCGAAAACACATGTGAGTGTTACAAGTTTGGACGTCGATATTAAACGAGGCCAAGTGTCAAATAATGAGGTAAACGTATGTTTCCTGTGAGCAAAAAACTGCTCTGAATGCAACGTTTTAACATCTTTTTAACATCTTTTTCAACTTTATATGGTTTATCGGCTCCAGGCAGCGTTCAGGCTGTCGAAGGAAAGTTAAATATTGTCTGTTTCTTCCATCTGATGTCCTGAGGCTTCTCTGCATCAACTCTCAGGGACGGAGTTAGTTTATGGATGGCTTTAGCTTTAGCTTGTAACGACTTTATCTCTTTGACCTTCTCTCACGCTTTGTGTCTAGATCTGTTGATTAGGATGCTCCTATAGCTTATATGCAAATAGTTAACGCTTGTAAATACTGAAATAACTAGTTCTCTCTCTCAGCATTAGGGTGTTCTTATAGCTTCTATGTAAATAGTTTGAGCTTGTAAATATTTAAATAGTTCGTTTTGTTTATTTTCCCCCCTTACTTTTTCCAATTCAAATATTTGATGTCAATGTAGTGAGAGAATAATAAGCATTGAAGTATCTGTATGCAAATTTATATCAGCGTATCACAATCGGGGAAAAGGTTTACATTGAACTGCAGCTTGAAGTGATGCTAACTGGATGGATCAAACAGTTCGAATAAAACTAATTACTAATTAGAAAACCTGTGTGTGTGTGTGTGTAATGTTTACTAACCTGATGCATGTAGAATAACCTAAATCTAAAACCTGTAGTCCACTGGTACTTTCCAGTAACCAAGAACACAAACACAAAATCCCGACAACCTAATAAGCGTTCACAACGAGGGTGTGGTGAGTATGTGTGTGTTTGAGAGTGTGTCTAATGGAAAGTGTGTGTGTGTGTGTTTTAGGAGGATTTTTTTTTATATAATGGATCCAATAACATGTAATGAGATTGGTTATGCAACCTGCCGCTGCCTGACTTTTCAATCTGACACTTAATAGTTACTCTCTTTGCTCTCAGAGATGCGCACACACACACACACACACACACTTTCTATTTCCATTCTTAATGTCTCACTGGTTTCCAAGAACCGGCTACACTTTGCACTCAGTTCCCAGTTGTTAAAGTTGGAGAAGCTCTGACTAACAAATCTCCTCTCTTTGTTATTAGACACTAAACATTCAGGCGGTCACGGAGCTAAATGCAAAATACATATACAATCTGACAGGAAACATTAGGAAATTAGGAAACATATCAGGGGGTGTAAAGATTAACTGATACACAACAGGAAATGGATACAGGAGTCAGAGGTACATCGACACAGACACACAACCAAACATCCTACCCAAATCCGACACGAGGCTGCTGCACTAAAGCTAAACGTAATAGATTTGATAAGCAATAGGGAAGGATTTAGAGAAGTAAGAGGATTTGCAACTAGATTCTGATTTGAATTGATAAAATGATGCTCGAGGGTTCTTTAATTCAAAGTATTTTCAATAAACAGAAGCTTATTTTCCCCCCCAATAATACCTTAAAACGTATGACACCGTTTCCACAGAAGTATGTAGAGTTCAGCAGAGCAGAGGAGAAACGCATTAAGGTCAGTCAGAGCAGTGTACGTTTCCTGAACCTTGTGATGTGTAACTGTATATATGCTCCTCCATCGGCTGCATCGGGGCTTTTATTATTTGTTAGGTTTTGAATTTAGGGTGGAGGGAGGGCTCGTGTGACATTTGCTTTCTGTATGGAAGCCAGTAAATCTTAGATAGCAGTGAGAATGTGTCAGGAGCTGCTGAGAGCCTCCACTCACAGTTCACAGGTGGGCGACTCTCGGGGCTGCAAGAGAAGCCACAACTAAAAATATCAGCTAGAAGACAGCCACAACTCCAGAGAAAAACAGAACATGGAGAGACGGTGGAGGTGACTGGCTGCCATTTAACTTAAGCTGCTAACTTTGGCGAGGAAAAAGCAGGAAAACTGTGGTCAGACAAGTTTAGCCGACTTCAAACACGAAGCTGCTGCTGAACACCCCTCCGGCACTGATCGCTATCGGAGCTCCAGCTGGCTCCAAAGCTGTGTTTTTAGACAGGAACATTACAGAGCAGAGCAGAGCGGGGACGAGGTGTCAGAACAGAGAAGACAGGAGTGGAAAATGCTCGGGCTAGCTTATGGCTGCTAGTGTAATGTTTCTCTGGGAGGTCTAATGAAAACACGAGCACAAGAGGAGACCTCCTTCGTGAGTCTCCTAACTCGTGATGTGGAACACGAGCCGCTCCCTCGCTCTCTGGGTGCTCTATATTTCATGACGGGTGCAGGTTACATCTCCGAGCTGGGCCCGAGGGGGCACGTGTGTGTATTTAAGTAAGTGTGTGTGTGTGTGT